GCAGAGGGTCGGGGTGGGCCCGGAGAGGTTCCCTCCTGCCCAGTTGGGTTAGGAACGAAACTCCAATCTCAGCGACCCTACAGGGTAGAGCTGCCCTGTGGGGTTTCCTCTGGGGACTGTGAGCACTCCTATTTAGGTGTGGGGCTGGGCTACCTGAGCCCCTGGACCCCCGTGTTGGGTCCTGGGGTTAAGGTGTGATGCATCGAAGACTGACAACATGTCCCCCTAGAACTGCGACTCGGCACCCTGTACGGTCGTGCAGTGTGAGCTGGCAGAGATGGCGCGTGGGCAGCGGGCCATGGTCATGGTGCAGGCCTTTCTGCAGCTGTCCAGCATACGCCAGGTGGGCAGGGGGAGAGCCAAGGGGGGGTGTTTGCCTCGGAGACTGGGCTTCCTGGTGGGCAGAGGGACTTCAGGGAACTAGGTGAGAGTCTGGTTTTCTTTGGGAGGGGGGTGGGGGGCTTGAACCCTTGGAAGCAACAGGCCTTGTATGTGTGTGTACATGGCTTGTGCCCTCCCCCTGGTCCAGAGGCCCCTGGATCAGTTTACCCTGCAGTCCCACGCTTGGTTCAACGTCTCTGCTCTCCCCTATGCGGTGCCAGCCCTCAGCCTGCCCAGCGGGGAAGTGACAGTGAGTACCTGGGTGGTGGCCTTTCCCTTGGGGCAGGGCCTGGATGGGTGGAAGGGGCCGTTGCAAGCAGATGGCTTGGCAGGGAGTCACCATTCTGCAGGTTCGAGGCTGAGGAGTCCCGGCTTTGTTCCCAGGTGGAGACGCAGCTGCTGCAGGCCCTGGAGGAGAGGGACATTCCTGTCTGGTGGATTCTGGTGGGCGTGTTGGGGGGCCTGTTGCTGCTCACACTCCTGGTCCTGGGCATGTGGAAGGTAAGGCTGAGGGAGTGGGCTCAGCCGTCGCAGGCTTGGCCCTGCCCTACCCCACAAACCGGCAGGGGGAGAGGGTGCCCAACCGAGTGTCTCCGTCCTTCCCCACTATTAGACTGCCAGGTGTTTTTTTTTTAAATCATTTTATTGGGGCTCATACAACTCTGATCACAATCCATACACACATCGATTGTGTAAAGCACACTTATATATTCGTTGCCCTCATCATTCTCAAAATTCGCTTTCCTCTTGGATTCCTGGAATCAGCTCCTCATTGTCCTTTTTCCCCTCCCCCTCCCTCCCCTAGACTGCCAGTTTCCAGAGTGCCTCCTCCAGCCCTACCTGTGCTCCCCGAGGGAGGGGCCTGGTGGTGCAGTGGTTAAGCAGTCAGCTGTTAATCAAACTGTTGACAGTCTGACCCTCTCGGGGCTGCCTTGGAAGCCCCAGGGGACGGTTCCACTCCGTCCTATGAAGTCAAGGGACCCTGAAAAAGTCACCCCAGAGACTGAGTCCTGCCTTCAGGAATTCTGGGATGGCTGAGTGAGGCTAGCACTCACTTCCTCTAAACTCTGCCCTTTTCCTACTGGGACTGGAGCCCCAGGGTTTGGTATAGACCCTGCTCACTCCTCACCCCTGAGGAGGCCCAGGGCCTCTCAAGTCCCCTACTCCCAGAGAAGGAGCCCGAGGGGCCACACGTTGGACGTACTGTCAGAGCCCTACCACCATGTGTCCGTCAACTGTTTAAGAGAAGTCTGGGCTGCATTTAAGGAAAACGCGGAGGGGGAAAAAAAACCCAAACATAATTACGTACCCATTCTCTCCAAATGGAGATGTGCTTCACGGGTGAATATGTGGGGAGTGGGCTGTGGCAGGCCAGGGAGCAGACCCCGTGGCCAGCTGGCTTCTCATACACCTGAGGCTGTGGGGCCCAAGGGTCAGCTCCACAGCCTGAGCCCGGCCCGTGTCCACCCAGGCCGGCTTCTTCAAGCGGAATCGCCCACCCCTGGAAGAGGACGAGGACGAGGACGAGTGAGGGGCTTCTGGACGCCATTCCACCCTCCCGACCCCGCTCCAGTCACCCAGAGTTGGAGCTCTTCTCTAGGGACCTCCTGGTGTCCTTCCTGTCCTTGCTGTCTAATAAAGTGGCCCAGCCCCCATCTGCCAAGGGGCTGCTCCTTTGGGGAGTCAGAGGAGGAGGGAGGCCCTGAAGAAGAGCCTGGAAGAGAGCTGGGGTGGGTGGGGTGTGAGCAGAGAGGGCGGTCTTGGGAAAGGGCTAGGAGTAGAGGGTAAGGAGTGGCAGCGGGGAGAGGAACAAGGGGTAAATGGTGAGCGGCACTCCAGTAAGGTAAGGGCTAACAAGGTGGCATGGGGGCAGGAGCCCGCCCGGGGCCACTCAGCTGGTCACCAAAGGCCGCTCCCTCTCCAGTGACTCCGTGGTAAAAGATCTGGCCCTGGACTCCTACGAAGGAAGATGACAGCCTCAGAAGCCCTGGGGCTCCTCTTCTGTCCCCGAGGGCCCCTGTGCCCGAGTCAAAATCGACCGGGCAACACTGCGGGGCTGGGGGTGCAGAGGGGGAGACCACTCCCTGCTGAGCAGCTTGAAGCCCCCCCCTTTTCATGACTTCAGAGGGGAAAACCTCAAAAGGACCTGGAGCCAGGGAAACACCCCCCCACCCCCGTTAAAAAAGGGGGACCTTGGAAGCTGGCGGGTCCTCACAGCCCCTCAGTGTGTGTGCTGTGGTGGTCGCAGGGCTATGACGCTGGAAGCTGTGCCATCAGGGTTTCAAACACCAAGAGGCTCGGCTCGTGCAGCCCGATTCCAGCAAACTAGGGAGAAAGGCCTGTAACTGGATTTCCAGACACTAGTCAGTCAGAACCTCACGGCTCATAGGCGCGTCCTGTCCACTATGGTGTGGGAAGATGGCAGAGTGGCTGCAGCCATGAGATCAGGAGGAACAGCCATGGAGCGGGTGCCAGGTGGGGCAAGCTAGACGCCACGCCCCCAGGAGTGGGAGGTGGGGGGGGCGGGGAGACAATGCTCCACAAGAGAGGAGCTGGGTTCAAAGTGGCAAGCGGCAGGCAGGAAGAGGGGACAGCAGCCGCAGCCTCAGCCTCAGGAAAGCAGTGGTATGTCCTAGGCTGTACCTTCTTCCCCACCAAGGACCAGGGGCTCTGGGGAGAAGGGTGCCACAGGAAGCCCAGGAGGGGTGACAGACAGCTCTCAAGTGGCAGTGCTTGGGTGGAGAATGGCTGGGGGAGTCCTGGGAAAGCCCTGGAGTCATTAAATATTTATTGAGCACTTACTATGTGCCTGGCCCTAGTCCAGGTGCAGGGATGGAACAGTGATGGCAACACTCTTCCAGTGGAGGCCGGAGCACATTAATAAACAGGTGTGTGGTCGGTGCAGGATGTGCTGTGAGGAAAACGGAAGGGGTGAGTGAGTGGTAGGAGGCTAGTGGGTGTCAGGTAGTCGGACAGCCAGGAAAGGCCCCTCTAAGGAGGTGAGCAGAGAGGTGAAGGGGCCACGTGGGCGCCTCAGGAGAAGGTGTCCTAGAGATGGAGAAGAGCCGATGCAAAGGCCCTGAGGTGAGCGCGGGTTTGGTGTGTGCCAACAAACTTGAGGAGGGAGGTCCATTTGGCTAGGATGGGGGTGGGGGAGGGAGGGGAGAACCCAGAAGATGAGGTCAGAGAGGAGGCCTGGGGCCAGGCATGCAGCACCTGGTGGCCACAGAGAACTTTGGATGTGATACATATGTTAGGGAATGCACAGGCTTTTGTCATAAGAGATGCTGGTACTTGATTTTACCTAGCGGTAAGACCTGAAAAAAACCAGAATAGTTTGACATCCATGCCTGGCAAGTTTCAGAACAGGTCCTTCATTTGGTGACTGTGACCATTTAGGAAACTATGAAGCCGTGATCTTTGAGCACTGGCCAAACTCCTGCCTTTGTAACTGGCTGGCCCCCAACAACTGCTCTTGATCCAGCCAGGCATTTCTGGTTGGTTCTTCACTGAGCGAACAGAAACGTGAGCCTCAGGTTCAGGCCTGGACAAAGCGGAAGGTGAGCTCTAGGCGGCTGTTCCTCAGCTCCGTCCTGGCCCGGCTGCCTGCCATTGCTGTGACCCTTTGAATGCAGGCAGAGGAAGCCGCTCTTTGCCCTGCAGATGGCTGCTGACTGGGAGGAAGCTCCGACACAATAGGTGACTCAAGTAGATTCAAGGCAGCCTTAACAGATTGGAAAACTTGGGTGGAAACCAACAAGCTGGAATTCACCAGCAGGGAGTGCAACCTCCTGTGCTGAGCATCCAGGAAAAAAAAAACAAATTTGCTTCCAGAAGAGTAGGATTAGGAAATCTGGCTAGAAGGAAATGTCTGCTGAAAAGAAATAATTTAGCAGTGTGTGTTGCTGTTGTTTACCCATATGCATGTCGGAAGACTCAGCTGGGGCCCAACGGAGGGCCATCTGCTCTCCTCTGCGGCATCAGCCCCGCGTCCTGGGTTTCCAATCTCCTGTTAGGCACCACAGGAAAGAGGTGACATTAGAAGAGATGAGGACTGGGCCATGATAAAACTCAGTGCCATCGAGTCAATTCCGACAGGACGGGGCAGAACTGCCCCCAGGGAGTTTCCGAGACTGTACACAGCGCTGAGAATTGCTAAAGCCAGAAACACGGAAAGGGAAGAAAAGGAAATGGGACCGGAGTGGGGCAGACCAGCCCCCAAAGCCAAGCCCACGGCCACCAAGCAGAGTCCAGTGGCTCTCCGTACGTACGGCTGCGGTTATCCGGTCAGCGCTATTGTTCACGAAGCCAGAGCCGGCAGCACCGGTGGGTGCGGCTCAGTGGGAGGGAGTCAAGCCGGCCTGGACTTCAAGAAACACTTCCTCGATGATGAAGATGATGACTGCCCACCACTGGGTCTGGTTACCTGGGCCCAGGTGAACCCCACCTCACCCTAGACCGGTGGTTCTCAACCTGTGGGTCGAGACCCCTTTTGGGGATTGACTGACCAACCCTTTCACAGTAGCAAAATGACAGTGATGAAGTAACAATGAAAATAATTTTATGGTTGGGGGTCACCGCCACATGAGGAACTGTATGAAAGGGTCATGGCAATAGGAAGGTTGCGGGAGAAATGGGGGGCTGACATCAGGGGCTCAAGTGGGAAGAGAATGCTTTGAAAATGATGATGGTGCCATATGTGCAAATGTGCTTGACACACTGGATGAATGTATGGATTGTGATAAGAGATGTAAGAGCCCCCAATAAAAGTTTTTGGGGAAAAAAATAAATAAAAAGGAAGACTGAGAACCAGTGCCCTAGGGCTACACCCACTGTGCCCCTAAGGAGTCCTAGCAGGACAAGGAGCTAAGCATTGAGATGCTCGCTGCACGGTCCCAGTTTCGAGCCCACCAGTGGCTCTCCGGGAGAAAGATGAGGCTGTCTGTCCCCTTAAAGATGACGTCCCAGAAACTCAAAAGGAACAGCTCGACTCCGTCCTACAGGGTCACTGCAACTCAGAATCGGCTCAATGGCACTGAGCTGGACTTTACTGTGCTCCTGTTCCGGCCAAGCAGGTGCTAAACTTCTTACATCCGGTGGTGGTGAAGTGCTTGCTAACAGGTGGCTGGGACTCGATGCGAGCCTGTGCCCAACACAAACGAAACACCTGCCAGGTCCTGGGGCCACCGTCGCAAATGTCCATAGGTTGGAGTCCCTTGTCGCAGCCCCTGTGTCCATCCCCCGTGTTGGGGTCTTCCTCCTATAGCTCGTTTGAGGCGACATTACACCCCACGAGGTAGAGATGATTAAAATGCCCACGTTGGAAAGAAGAGGATGCGGGAGGACCCGGAGGCTGAGTAACGCCTTCCCGGTGTCAAAGGAATGTCAGAAGCGAAGCCCAGATCCAAGCCTGCGCACTACCTGCTCTGCTCAGGTCGCGCGGGGAGGAGAGGGCAGTGGTCCTGGGACTTTTAGGAGGCCCACCAGAACCTCCCCCACCCCCACCCCAATCTCAGGGGCTCTCGGGCCCC